GTGCAGATCGCTCTGCTTTCTTCACGGAGCACAGGTTCTACCAGAGAGCTGCCCGTGGCAAGATGGCCGCCGGTGATCCCGCTCGACACTCCGCCGTAACACATCTAACCTTTATTATATATATCCTTTATATATATATATCCTTGCTACGTAATATCCGGACTATAAGCCACTACTTTTTAAAAACGCTTTGAACACTGCGGCTTAAACAATGACGCGGCTAATTTATGGATTTTTTATGATGTTTACGTATTTGCCTCAAGAACAAAGTGACGCTGAGAGTAACGACGACAGAGAGACTGAGGAAGTGTGTGACTGTGTGTGTCTGAGGCTGTTCAACTCCGACACTGAAGAGGACGACTTTAGTGGTTTTAGTGCAGGAGGAAGATGAAGATAGCGATCGATGACTTTTCCTGGTAGGATGCTGTATGTTTCTATTTTCTGAACCAGCCGTGTTACAGGTACTGTTCGGAAAAAAAGCATTTGCAGTATTTATGTACGTTACCGGTACGTATTTAATTAAAAGTTTAAAACATCTTTCTGTGTAATTGTCTCATGTTCCAACATGGACACCTGCAGCTTATAAACAAGTGCTGCCTGTATATGTACACACCTGGTTTTCTTTTTCAAGTTCGTGGCTGTGGCTTATATTCAGGTGCGCTCATAGTCTGGAACTTACGGTAATGTTTGGATTAGCCACGAGCTAGGATGAGTCAGGACCTTCCAAGGTGACGACGGCAGGAGTTTTAAAACTGCTCTTTAGGAACATTAAGGGTTTGTCCATTTCTATTAAGCCTCTACGGCCTGTAGGCTCGACTGAAAGCTTCACCTGCCTCAGAAGTCTCAGAAGCCAGATAAAGTCCCACAATGCTCTCTGCTGCCAACATGAGCTGTAGTCTGAGTGGAGCTTTGTGCCCCGTCGCTTTAAATCCCTGAAAACTTTGATTCATCTACATTGCACCACACAAACCTGAATCACCTGCACAGACTCTGACTCTCTGGATGTCCAGATGTTTTATTGGGTCACAGCAGCAGCACGACACAGGACCACACATCACTGACATTCACTACAGGTCACGACAACAAAATAAATTAACAAACAGGAAAATAAAATTCACATTTTTCAGTGCACATCAGTTGTAAGAGCTTGAGTAATAAATACAATATTCATGTTTTTTAAAAAAGAAAACCAAAAGTGCGGATAACAAAGGTCTCGATGGAATGTCATGGACGTGATTCACCTGTCGTCCATAAACAAGGTGTGTTCCCTTCATCCAACAGCTACATCTCATTATCTAGTCACACACACACGTAAACACAGACATGTTCAGTTACAGCAGTTTCACCAATAAATACCATCTCATAACTCACTTTTCACAAGATATATCTGTCCCTGTCTGTACACGTTCCTTTTATGTTACACGTCGATCCGCCTGAAACCTGACCAGGTAGCATCGCTTCAAAAACTCAGAGGGTGATTTAGAACATTTACAGATGTTCTGAAGGCATCTCCACGTCTGCATAGGCGGAAAATATGCTTCGCTGCAAAATAACAACATGAAAAACGTGATTCTATTTGATAGTGAGAAGTATAACTTTCATTTTTCAACTGATCGGTACCGACATGAACCGAGTTTTCTTCATCAGTATCCCCACCGTCAACATTCAACCCCCTAGATATGGTTTTAATGAATAAACTCTTCAATAGACTTCACATCATTACATATCTGGTATCGACCAAAAGTAGACGAGTTGACGGTAAATATATCTGGAAGTTTACTCTTGTCATATACATCCAGGTGTGCAAAGGCAAAGTTCACAATTACCAGAGATATATGCCGACATACCACAGTCCTCGCCAGGAGTTTTTTTTTACAGCGTACTGGGGGAGGGAGGAGTCGTCGTCATAGCGAATGCTGCTAATGGTTAGCGCTGAATACGCTAGCGAACAGCAGCGTCAGCAGTAAAGACGACGGCAGTGAAACTCCATCGGTGTTTGTTGTTAAATATTTTCCCGTTAAGTACCCTCGAAAACAAAGCAACGGCCCAATTTGCAGCGTAATTTTTTACAGGCAGCAGCGTAATATTATTATTATTATCATTTGCATAATTCATTTCATCACTGAATCACTTGTTCACATGCTGGGATTCCCACTGATAGACAATCAAAATGACTGTAACAGGAAGTCGGCGTACACCGGAGCCCACGGGGTGAAAGCCGCAGACCGGTACAGCGGGCTGGGGTGTTGAAAAGGGTAAAAACACAAGTCAAGATCAGTGAGTACTGACCTCCTGAGCTCTGGTTGGAGGTCATTAACCTCCACAGAAGACTTTGTCATCGTCCCGTTGCTGCTTAACTCCCACAATGAGAAAGTGGCTCCACCTGGTGGAACAACCAGGTACTACAGCTGATCTCTGATGCAGGTTATTTTGGATTTCTTTGGAAAGGCCTTCAGAACAGCCGTAAAGGTTTAAATGAAACGCTAACAGATGAGAGGACAAACTGGGGCCACCTGAAAACTACAAACTGACATTTATCCCTTATCGTCATGACGACACCTCTAATCGCGATGCCCAACCACAGATGAACAGCAGGCGGGTCGTGAAGCGAGGACGGGTCACTCCGTCTGGGGCACCGAGATAGCCGGGCCTTTGGGGTCGTCGAAGCGGTCCATGGTGCGCAGCTGCATGATCATGTGCAGGCCGTAGGTCAGGACCAGGACCATGAGCAGGCTGGTCATCAGGCCCATCCAGATCCCCGGAGAGAAGAAGCCGGCGCAGTCGCTGGCGTACGAGAACTCACTGCCGCTCACGTTGAAGCCCTGGATCTGTGGAGAGGTCCAGGAGAGGCCGTTAAACATCTGTACAGGGTTCTGAAGGAGTCTGATTCTCCTCAGGCTCTGGTTTCACTTAACCTCTGATCGTGATGGTTTCAAATCTTACTGTCGTGATTCTGAATCAGTTTGTGGTCATGTTGAGTCCTTAAACTGGAATTCTGAATCGCTGTTGATTGTTTTTGCCTCCAGCTGTCCTGATTGGCAGTGATTCTGCCTCTTATCACCGTCATGTAGAATCTTTTCATGCTGACTTTGAATCATTTTGTGATCTTTTTTTTGTGATGTTCAATCTTTCTGTGATGATTTTTCATCTTTTTCTAGGAATTCTGCCGTGATTATGAGGGCTTAGAATCTTTTTGGTGATTTTTAATCTCTGAGTTGGTTTAGAATGTAAATGCAGTGATTTTGAATGTTTTTGTGTCACTTTTGCACTTCTTAGTGGTGATTTTCAATTGTTTTGTGGTGATTTGTGGTCATTTTGGAGCTTATTTTAGTGATTTTGTGGGTTTTTTGGCGATTATTTGTAATCTTTTTGCGGCGATTTTTAATCTTATTCTAGTGATTTTGTTTTTTGTAATAATTTCTAATCTTTTGTGATAATTAGGAATCTTAGTGGTCATTTTGAATTTCTTTTTGGCGATTTTGAGTAATTTTAAATCTCTTTTCTGCTGATTTTTAATCTCATTCTTGTGATTTTAGAGTTTCTGGGTGCTAAGTTTGAATCTGTTAGTGGCTATTTTCAATTTTATTGTCGTTATTTTTATTGTTTTTGTGATAATTTTGGATCTTTTTTTGGTGATTTTGAATCTTTGTTGTGATTTTAGTATTTCTGTGGTGATCTTTAATCTTATTCTAGTGATTTGGGGGGTTTGTGATAAATTTGAATCTCTTAGTGGTTATTTTGAATCTTATTGTGGTTATTTAGATCTGTTTGTGGTGATTTTGAATCCTATTCTCGGGATTTTTTATTGATTTTTGTCATAATGTTGAATCTTGTCGTGGTGATGAGGAAGCCACACATTCAGAACTCTTGGAGTTTGTAGGTTTGCACAGCACAGTTCTTACTGACATGCAGCAGTGCTTATCCAAGCGGCGTCCTACCTGGAAGTCTGTGAAGGAGACCCTCCACTGGATGGCTGGGTCTTTGGACGATCGTGGGATGAGCAGTGGCCAACGGAAGTTGGTGACGGACTCACAGCGGTACGAGTACTCGGCCGGAGCGTAGATGTTCCTGCTGCCGTTGAACGTGGCTTTGGTGCCGTTGCACTCGAGCTCAACGGCGTCCAGCGTGAACCAGCGGCGGGACGACACCTTGTAGTAACGCTGGCTCATAACAAACCTGGAAAAACACAAATCAAGAGGCTTTAGACTGCGGCTGAAGGCTGCATTCTCTCTAACAGCCAGCAGGGGGCGACTTTAACATGTTTTTGTAGTGATTTTGAATCTTTTGGAGGTGATTTTGAATCTTTTAATATAAACCCGGGACACTTACATGTCATGAACTACAAGCGCATACTGAGGTCTCACTCAGAAGGACAATCGTCCCTTTTTTTTTTTTTTATAAACTGAAAGTGTAGAAGTTTGGTGAAAGCAGAACTCGTGGCAGAGCAGCAGTGAGTGTATGTAGATGAGCGTGCATGTGTGTGTGCACGTCACAGCGACTTACAACACTTTGAAGTTGCTGCAGTCGTGGACTTTCTCGTAGTTCAGAACCAGCCTGCAGACAAAGCGACCATGGAAGAGGAGAAAGAAAGACAAGTGATGAGTCTTTAACTGCTAATCCAGTCACATCTCTATCATCTCATTTATGGGTTCTGTTCTGGCGCTCGTTGCCGGTTTTCTTAAACTTCAGGAATTCTTAACATATTTGAGTTTTGGACTTTTGTGGAGGAAAACGTACCCAGTTAATCCAGAGAATAATCCGTACATGAGCCGATAATTGAAGTAATAATGGAGAACAAATGGAGCTCAGAGCTCAGAATGGAGCTGCGCTCTGACAGCTCAGGACCGTTTTGAACTGTGAACGGGCCGAACCTGGAGTGAACCGAGGCCTGAGCTACCTGGCTTTGGTTTTGTCGCAGCTCGACCCGTGCAGCTTGACGCTGGCCGAGTCTCCGAAGGTGGACGAGGTCAGGTCCTTCTCCTCCCACGTGCGTTCCCGGAGGAAGCTGACCGACAGGCCTTTAGCCCACAGCAGGATGCAGGTGCTGTCCCCCTCCTGGAGGAAACACAAGATAGTAAACACATCAAGGTGGAGAACAGAACCGGAACAGCTCTAGAGAGTCCTGCAGAGCGTCCTTTGAACGTCCAAACCCCACTGGGAGGCGGTCGTGTTTAAAACATAAACATATCGCCAAAAAGATCGCCTGTCACGATGTCAGAAAAAAACAAACTTTTAACCAAAAAGTGGTGATTTTGAATCTTTGTGATGTTCTCACATCACGTTGTGGTTATTTCACTCCCTGTCACGGTGACTTTTAATCTTTTTGTTGTGATGTTGAAACGTCCAGCGGTCACTTTGCCTCCTATTGCAGTCATTTTGAATCTTTCATGGTGATTTCAAGTCTTTCTGTGGTAGCTGTTCATGTTTTTGTGATCATTTTCCCTCTGACTGTTGTGGTTTTGATTCTCTTTGTGATCACTCTGGGTCTTAATGTAATGATTTTACTTTTAGTCAGAATTTCTTCAGACCAAGTGTTCAGTTAAATGAAAAAAAACTTAATTAAGATGGTTTCTCTTTGTAAAAAAGCACAACACTCTCATTTATCCTATTCATGTAAACATAATGCCACTGTTTCTTGGTTTGTTTGTTTGGCTAAAGCTACTTTTCTAATAGTTTAGGACTTCATACGTACGACTGACTAACTCTGTTGCTGTCTTGTGTTCTACGAACCCTTCATGAATCCTCCGTTTATGCGTCTGTATGTGGGCGTCAATAACCAGGTTTTAGGTTTCCAAACGTCACCGCCTGTGACTAAACGTGTTCTTAGGTCACATACGCGACCTGTGTTTACATTTGGAAACAGCGTGGACGCCCTCAGACCTGTGTCAGCGTTGTCTCCTGTTCAGGTCCAGATACCGCTCCACGTACAAGAACACGGGCGAAGGACGACACTAAGGACGGTTATTCTACGACATCCAGAGACAGACGCTCACGCTGATTGGACAGGATGTGGGGGACTACTGCCACCTAAAGGTTTGGCAGCTGATGAATGTGCAGTTAGGTGTGGATGGATTTATTTTCTGAAAACGAGGTGGTGTGTAGGGGAGAGGATATTGGGTTTTATGAAAACCCTGCTACGTGTGGACAAGGCCTGAAGCCACAGAAACACTGAAGAAGTGTCAGTAGCCCACCTTGAACTCGACAGGAGCGTAGGTGTTGGTCCTCTCCTTCATCTTGCGCTGCCTCTCCCGCTCCCTCTCCCTCTCCCGGTAGCCTCCTCTGGCCTGCAGCAGAGACCGGCCGCCGCCCAGACCGGCCTCCATGGACAGAGACGCCGCCTCCTGCAGGAGCAACAGCAGTCAGCGCGACAGGAAGCAGCAGAAACATCTACCTGATGAGCACCCGGCTGTCCACACTCACCCTGGAGGGCCGCAGGGCCGTGTAGATGGCCGTGTACGGGACTGCCTGGGACCTCATGATGCTCAGCACCTGACCGATCACCTCGTCTGACAAACACAAGCACACATCAATCAGCTCAGGCAGCAGGCAGCAGAGGTGGATGGAAGTCCGGACATGTCATGTGACTCACCATTTCCACTGAGAACCTCTTTGGCAGACATCAGATCGGCTCTGAAACAAAGTCCAGACACAACGTTAGAATGAAATAAGTCAGACTGGACTCTCTGGGAGGTCAGTGTAGACATTTAAATCTATGGATTTTCCAAAATTAATGAAAGAAAATACGTCTTAACATATGTCTTAACACTATAAAATACATTTCAACATTAGAAAACGCATCTTAAAATACGTCTTAGTGACTGATTTTGGACGCAGCCTTTGACTGTATAACTCGTGCTTCCTAGCCCCGCCCCCTTCAGGAAGTAGACTCTCTCTGATGTGAGCGGATCTGACGGTGTGACCATCAGTGTACCGACCCGATGCCGTACGGCAGCCGGAACACCAGCAGCGCCGGCGAGGAGGCGTTGAGCCGGAGCTGGCTCAGCGTCTCGGGGTCCATGTACAGCGGGGACGTCTCCAGCTGGTCCTGCAGCTGACCAATCACAGCGTTGGAGGCGGGCCAGGACACGGCAGGCAGCACCAGAGGGGAGGACGAGGACGTCAGCGCTCCCTGAGACAGAAGGACACACCGGAGGTCAGACAGGACCGCAGGACGGCCCACGCAGGCGGTCTGAAGACAGCCGGCCGTCAAACATCCGCAAAACAGGACGAATGAAAGAGCTTGAACTGAAGAACGTTACCTCGAGGTTTGGAAAAACGCTGTCCTGCTTGTTTCCGAAGGCTCCCCCGTACATGGTGAAGTCCTCGATGCTCATCTGGACACGACGAAAGGAAAACGTGTAGTAGTTTGAAAAATAATCCAGAAAATAAACACATTTATATGACTTTTTAAATGATTTTTCAGTGTTTTTAATCATCCGAACATGAATTTTCGGTTCATAAATACAAGTTTTCAGGTGACGGTACGGACTTGACTTGAGACTTTCTGGTTACTTTTTGTCTTTCATCACTTTCAACACAAAAAGTTGTTGATTTTTCATGACTTCAAGCGTCAATAACATCCAATAAAGAGATAAAAACGATGAGCTAGAAGTCCTGTGACTCCGTGATGCTGTTTTTGGATATAAAAGTGGTTTTAACCTCAGACAGGGTGAATTCTTCACTGGAAGTCTGTCTGATAAAGTAGTTCACAGAATCAATCAGGAACTTCTGAACCCTCTAACCTCCAACCATTTCTACTCACTGTGGGCTCATTTTTCACTGCAGCTGTACTCGTTTCCAGAAAGTCCCTGAATGTTTCTCAGATAACTGTTGGTCACAGAACCTCAGCTGTGCAGAGGAAGGAGGATTTCTTCGTTTTTTACGGTATCTGGTGACTGAAATGTGCCACAAGTGGCCTCCAACAGATGTAGACTCCACAGAAAGGTTTAAAAAATGATGCAGAAAACCTCAACAAACCCCCACAAAGTAGAATTGACTTTTTGTGGATGACCTGATAAACTACATGAAGAGGTTTGAGCTGAACTGCAGGTTGTGTTTCCACAGAGAGAAACAAATAAAGACGTAAATAGTTGAACATCTCTATAGAGTCGGTGTTTACATCTGTGGACATCTGGACTGATGTTGCACATGTGGATTTCAGGTTTGTTCACTTTTTTCTAATACAAACAATCAAATAAATTCAACTTTGGTGTTTCTTTCTGTCTGATTTGTGCCACTTGGTGCTGTTCTAGACTTTAGATTCCACGGTGAAGAAATCAACACTGCCTGGAGTTCAGAGGCTTACGGAGACAACGTGTGTGTTTGTGGCGCACCTTGTCCTGCAGGAACAGCACCACGTTTCTGGGACCCACATCCAGAGCTTTGTCCAGGTAGGAGGCCAGCTGCTGCTGCCCCACGATGTGACCTGCCGTGGGGGGAGACTGCCACGGTACGGAGGTCCTGGTGGAGGTTCAAAGCAGACGAGGAGGTTTCATCTGGACTGTTCGATCCACGAAAAGAAACCATAACAATGTGTGAAAATACTCTGAAGCTAGAACTGGGCGTGCATTCAGAACCACACTTGGGTTCAGTCAGGAGAAGAGTTTCAAGGAAAATATGACGAACTCCACAGAAGTGTAGGAAAACGTTTTCTGCTGTGCATCTATACTAACAAAGACCGGTATGTGGACGCCACGTTAGCCTCTAAACACTGCTCTTGGTTGGCTGAGTTCACCAGTGTGATTACGTAGCTCCAAGCGCTAACGCTAACGAGGCGCCAGGAGGGCTACACGGCGCCATCAGTGAGCTTTTAACCAGACAGCTTTATAGTGGTTGCAGGGATCTGAACCACACCAGTTAAAAAAAACAACAACAAAATCAGTTTGAACTGCTGCCATCAGGAAAACGTTTCCAGAGCGTTAAAGGAAGAACCTCCAGACTGATCAACAGCTTCATGCCACCAGCTGTCAGAACGCTGAACTGCTGATCCAGATGTGCAAACACTTGTTTATTTATATTGATCTAAGTTGTTGGATCCTGGAGAAACGCTCTCTCATCCTGCCTGTGTATGTACAGCAACGTGACGATAAACTGGATTTGATTTAAATGTGAAAAATGCGTTTCAATGATGCACCTCTGTCCTTCACACAGTTTAACCTGAACCAGTGCATCATGTTCTACTCGGTTTGTCGGTTACATCTACTCGAGATTCAAGAGTTCTTCGTCGTGACTGTTTTCAAGGCGACAATAACACATTACAAAAAGAACAAATCTTTAAAAACAACCGCAGAAAATGAGCACAGACCTTAACGTTCGACCGATTTTACGCCTCGTAAACACCTGCTGGTCTTCAGAAACCCCAGAAGATTGTCTAACGTCACAACAAGTCTTCAGGAACCTTCGAACCTCATCTGTTAAAGGTCAGATTACAACTGACTTGTTTGCCACATAATACAATAAAAGCCTGCGTTCAGCTCATCCGATAAAGACGGCAGCTGGAAACAACACTACGACAACCATTACTGTCACTTAAATCGGTTCTTATTGATGTTTGCCTTTTATATTTGAGGGGTTTTTTAAAAAAATATATAAAATAAAAGCTGCAAGCACATTTCACTGTTTTAAGATGTGATTTTTAAGCACAGATGAGTGAGAGACAGGTTGAAACTAAACATAAAAAGCCTTCAGGGAGGATAGAAACCCAATCAGAGCGGCAGGAGGTTGAGGTGATGGAAACGTCCTGCAGTTAAACTCTCCAAGGAACAAGAAAACGCAGAATAATTTTAATTTCTACAGTTTGGTGCACTGTAAGCGTGGAGTATCTGACAGGCGAAATACTCAAATATGTAGTAATTATACTCGAGTACGTGTCCTTGGTTTTATTTCATCACTGACACACAAAAACTGAATCCAGACGGCAAGAAAAACAAACAAAAAGTAAATAAATTAACAATAAACATAATGTTGATGATGTTTCAGTCATTTCTAAGCAGAAAATATTTTTTAAAAATTGTACATCTTCAGCTTGTTAAAGAGCATCTTCTGCTTCTCTTTGTCTTTGTAACACTGAACATTTGGATTTTGCACTTTTAGTCAAACGACAAACACAAGAAATTTGAACTTTAGCGTCTTTTTTAAATGTGGTTCATTAATTAAGCAATAAAACACTGATCAGTGGCAGGAGAAAGTGAAACCGCCTCCGTCAGCTCTTGAAAAAGCAGTTTTTAGAAGAATTCAGATGAACAGACGGAAGCAAGAAGCAAAACTCAAACCAGCAGCACAAGACTCAGATGAACCCACTTCAACAGAAAACTAAGCTAATTAATGCAATTAGCTATTAGCAATTAAGAAAATGCAGGTGACAAAGGGAGATTCTGGACAAATGTGCTGAGAAAAAAGAAGAGAAAAATCTCCATTATTCTACTTGTTCAGGTAAACAAACCTTAAAGTGGAGAGAAAACAACCACATATTTGTACTTCAATGCAGTATTTGAGTAAATATACTCCGTTACATCCTAAAAAGGGGGAAACTGACAAGTTGTGGACTTGTGAAGCCAATTTAATATTAATGTTATTATCAGTTTAAAATAAAAAGACTGTCTGTCTGCAGTCAGTTCCTATGTGCAGTCCAGCGTGACTGCTGTATTTAAGGCGTGCAGGTGTCATTTGGGCTTTAGATGAATTTCAGGCCCAATTAAATGACTTCGCATCTGAACTGCCCAGCTTCCCAGGAGGCGCTGTTTCCGGACGACAGGTGTAAATGCACCTGTCACTCATCAGGGATGCTAAATGTTCCTATGTGGCTGATTTAACGCCGTATTTACTAATTAAAGCGCCTAAATGAAACACTATCCAGCCTGTGTTTGTTCATTATTCATCCCTGAAGCCGCTTCACGTCAGTGACCAGCTAACCGTTAGCTAGCCTAGCCTAGCCTAGCCGTTCGCTAAAGTCGAACCGCAGAACCGCCTCCAGGAGCGGAGCAAACATGAAAGTCCGAAAATTTCTCACCCCTCGCTGGTCCACAGGATCAGCGGGACCTGTTCGTCGCAGCTGCCCGAGTTCATTAAGCCCAATAAGCCGAGAAAGACGGCCGAAGCCGCGGAGATGCTGCAGAGCCGCGGAGACCCTGAAGACGCCATCTTCAGTTTGACAGCTGTGACGTAGGACGTCCAGTGGGATGACGTGATGACGCATGAGGAAGTAGACTCTCTGCAGAGGTGACGATCAGAGTTTATTTAAAACGATCATTAAATATTTATTATATCATATCTTATCCTCACTTTTACTACTATTAGTATTACGACTAATACTATTTTAATTTTGTTTTATTAATAATGCTATTTTTTAAAAAATATTTCTTTATTTTTTATAAAATTCCACTGAATACAACCTTATTTTATTTTCCATGTGCTTTATTTTTTAAGTAATAAATAGTCTTTTTTTTTTAAATAATCATTTAAGACATTTTGTTTTATTTATAATCAATGAATAAAAATTATTTTCTATTTAATTAGTTAGTACTCTTTATTCTAGGTATTATTCAGCACTACTTGTTTTTATGATTAAATATTCATTTTATTTGGAATTGTCAATAAATTCTATTATTTTATCTTTATCAGTAAATAGCAAGTATTTTATTGCAAATTATTAATAAATTCTCGTCCATTTTGAATTATCATTCAACATTATTTTATATTTACTTAATTTTTTATTTAATTCTTTTTATTATTTTTATTTTAAATTATTAAAGTCGATCTCATTTTTTAAATTTATCAGTCCAACTTTATTATTGAAAATATTATTAAATGCGATTTATTTTATTTCACTATCAGTAGCAGAGCAAGACGAATGTGTGTAAATGAATGTGTCTAGTTTTGACCTTCAGGTTTTCCTTTTTTTGTATGTGAAAATGTCAGAATTCAAATAAAACCAACCACACACAGAAAACAGAATCTGTGTGCACCTCATCTGTCTTCCTTCTGCTAAATTTGTTCGCTGTCCTTCCAGAACATGTTAAAAAAAAAAAAAGGGGTGACAGATGCTTTCCTGGGTATATCCTATGCAGTTTTTTAAAAAGAAACCCCCCAACAGACATCAAATACTACATATTTTATTTTTTAATTCTAATTCAATATATTTTATAAATGACTTATTGGTGTCTGTGACTGTCTGTTAGATCTGATTGGTCCAGCAGGGCTTGGAGATGACAAACGGCACAAATTAAAATGTAGAAAAGTCAAATACTTTATTGGCATCACATAGGAAAGAGTGGCAATCACAGTAAGGCGACACGTTTATAAAACCTCCACAGATCTCTGAACCGCAGCCTTTCCTCCTGTAGAAAAGCCGTCGATAAAACACGTTATTTACATCTGTGACGGAGGAGCGTTCAGAGGTTTAGTGAAGGATCCATGCAGAAAAACCTGCATTTCAAAAAAACAAATCCTCCACAGCGACAAGAAGTGATTCAGGGGTCCGGCTGAGGATAAAGACAGATCACAGAGAGCGAGCAGGGCACATGCAAGGACAAGTCATAATGGTACAGTTACCATTTAATTAATTTAATTAATCCCCACAGTCATTCACAGCTGCTGATTAGCTGCATTCATAACAATCTAAGTCTGCAAACAAACACTTCGTCCTAAAATAAGCGTTCTGTTAATAACCAACGATTCTGCAAAACCTCACGATGACGTTCTACAACATTTTTTGAAGATCCTGTTTGTGTCAAACAAACTGCGGTTAAATTAGAATTCATGTAACCAACGGAAACACCGAGTTAAAGTTAGAACTCTGAAGGTTTTCATGAAGGTCTTGATGGTGTTTAATTTGCTGCAGAGGCCAATCGGTGAGTTTACATCTCAAAAAGTACATTACTATTATAAAGAAAACTATTATTTCATCTTCAGTTAAATGCTACGTATTTTATTTCACAGGATCATTTTTCATTTTCATTCAAAACTATTCAACACATTTTTACATTTTTTTGTAATTACTGTAAATTCTGTTTTTTGTTTTTCTGTTTAATCTATTTTAATTATTAAATGCTTTTTCCTTTTTTTTTTTTTAAACCATCACCAAATATGATTTCTTTTATTTCATTATGAGCCGGACGACATGAACAGGTTCGGATTACAGTGTCTGATTTTGGTTTTTACGTACGTGAGAAATAATAAAACCAAAGAAAATAATGTTTAAGATGCGGTTTGAAGTAAGAATCCGTAAGACTTCCATAAAGTCAAACTGAAATTTTTCCATTTTTTCTGCAGTCGGTGAGTTTAAATTGTCAGAGTGCAAAACAAATCAGCACAAACGACGCCATCTTGAGTGGAACAACGTAAAGAATCATCAGATGTCCTACTGTCCTTGAAGTAATCATCCACGACCTGTTGGGAAAACTAATTTAATTACGACGGGGCTTCAAAATAACTTGTCAAAAATAAACTGTTTACACCAAAACATCTCCGAGGCGCAAACGTGAAGCCGATTTTAACTCGGCTGCGAGTCGACAAAAACACAAATGTTGTTGTTTTGTTTTTAAAGCTCTGCAGCAGGTTCGGATCGTGCAACAAGGCAGCCGTGATCGTTTTTATTGGTGTAAATGTTCCACCAAAAAATAAAAAAAATTACAAATGACATATAATTTTGAAGGGGGCAAGGTTGCTGCATCCTGGGCTGAGCTCCGCCCAAGACGACTGTGATTGGTTCAAAGATTTACGAGTAAAAGCAGAAGGGTCCGACAGCACCACGAACTACTGGTGCTGCCGAAACGAGACTGAAAGCAGACGGAGAAATCGTGAAGCTGTGAATCATCCAAACCTTAAATACAGACATCGCCGATGGTTGAGCAGCAGCTCGTTAACTAACGAGACGATGCAGAAATAAAAATCTGGAAGCGTCAAACATTCGAGACCTTCCACTCCTCATCCACACAGAAACCAAAAAGTATTCAAGTAACTCGATCCTCTCGCCTGCACTGCTGTCGTCCAGTAAGTCCGTTCAGTAAATGACAGATGACACGCGTCTGCTTCACCAGAGGCTCAGAGATCAACCCGTCGGTTCGTTCGCAGCTCCAGAACGTTTCCTGGAACGTCGAGGAGCTCGTCTCTGTGAGGGTCTGTGCGGCGGGAGGAAAGAGGGAGGCGGACGCCAAAACGCAGTTCTGGATACGAGGATGAACCTTCAGCTCGAGGAGTCCGGGACTCAGGACCTGGTCTGGATCTGCTGGTGGAGGGTCTCCGCCTGGACCTTCAGGCTCCGGAAATCCTGCTGGATGAAGTCGGTCAACGTCTTCCTCATTTCCAGCTGAAAGGGAGAGTTTAGAGAAAGGAGATGTTGCCGGCTCTGCTCAGGGGACGGTTTACTGAAGCTCAAACTGCTAAAGCATGTTTGCAACAGTCATGAAACTTCTCACCTGTGACCAAATCTGGGCTTTCAGCAAAAACCTCCTGATTCTACACGTCTCATTTAAACACTCGCCAACAAAAACAACTGAGATTCAATAAGTTCTGCCGAACCGTGAAGCCACCAGTGACTCAGGCAGCTTTAACTCTGATGGTGTCGATGCGTGTATGTTGGTTTTGAGCCTTTCCGTTGTGTCTTTGTGGGTTTTTTGAGCGTTATTTTGTGGATTTTTCAGCGTTTCATCAAGTCGTACAGGTTCTATCGGCTGATTTAGAGCCTTATGGTGCATTTTGCATGTTTATGTGGTGATTTCTCATCGTTTTGCTGTACAGTAGAGAAAACTTAAACTCAGAGAACCATAGAGTTAGAGCAGCAGGTAACCGGATTCATCGAACTGATGAACTGTTTGGTCTGCAGAATGTCGGCTCAAGGCCTTTAAATGTCTCGTTTCGTCTGGTTAAGAGCACAAAATCCAAAGACTAAAGCATGAGCAGAAATCTGTGGAGTGGAACAGTTTAGTTCCGTCTTCGCTGTGTTTAAACGATCCACTCCGTCCTCACCTGGCTCTTGTTCTCAGCTCGGAGGGATTCCACCAGATCCTTGACACTGAACGGTTTCCCCACCAGGACTGTGATTCTCTGGAAGGACAAACATTAACCCATAACACGGCGCTCAGAGCGACTAAGAGCCACGACTAACTGAGTGTTCCAGGTCAGAGTGAGGCGTCGATACCTTTCCAGTGCGAGGAATGTAGGGCTTATCATTGGGCAGAACGTCGCTCAGACCTGAGAAACAGCACAAAGGAGGACGTGTACTCAGAGTTAAGATGAAGAAATCGCTCTTCTGACAAAACCTGCTGCTAAATACTGAGCTGTTATTCACACTGCATTGAGCATCAGTATTATGGGATGTCTCACAATGTGAACAGTGACATAGAGTCATAGAAACTATCACTGGTACCCTGGATGTGTTTCTGGTTTCTGAGCATTCACCAGAGAAAACTGAGAAAAGTGCATTCTGGGTAAACTTCAAGGCTCCTATCAGCATGTGTGCTGGTGGTTGGTCAGAACCAGGTTTAGTCTTCAGACACCTTTAGTGGATGAAACCTGATCTGGTTTTTCACAAAATGTGAACTGTGAATATTTTTCACTTTAAAAACCTGCTGAATACAGTCCAGGTCCTCGGTCCTCCTACTGGTGCTCAGTCTGTTCACTAATAACAAAACCAGTGCTTCTGGTCTAGAACTGATTCAGAACCCACCTCTACTGAAGAACTTTGTGTTGGTACTCACCAACGTGCCACAGCGGCAGGATGATGGGATTCAAGGAGCACTCCGCGATGAGCCGACCGACACCTGAAACACAAACCGGGAACTTTACGGCACCGAGAAACACGATCACAGTGGACGCAGGAGGTCCGATCAAAAAGTTCTGAGACTGTCGCAGGTGCATCTCAGTGTCACCACCATGTGGAGGGTCATGATGGAGCCAGAATTACCCATGTAATGGCCCATAAAGACCCATAAATCTGTCAACACGACTCAGAACTAAACTAAAAACAACTCAAATGAAATATGGAATCCAAATTTCCCTGGAGCGGTTCCAAAACCCACATTCTGCTGAAAATAACACAAAAAAATTAAATCTAAAACTTCTCCACAAGGCTTCAAAGTTTTTCCAGGACGATTTTAAACTTTTCAAACTGACTCAGACTTGTTTAAAGCCACTCGTACGTTGGACCACCGGCCCTCCAGAGCTGGTCCTCATGGATCTACTGTACATTAAAGCAGACATTCAGAACCTGCTCCGCTCTCACCCCACTTCAGGCGGATGAATTCTTCCGTCATGTTGACTTTTCCTGTAGGACGAGAAACAAAGAGTTTAGATCCGCCGTCGGAACAGAGACAGCAGCAGACTGTGAGGACGGAGACGGACCGACCTTCTGGGAAGATGTGGATCCATTCTCCTCTGTTGAGCTTCTCCAAGACAAAGTCCATCCCCTTCTGGTAAACACCATCACCTGCAGGAGACATGGGAGGTCAGGAGGAGGAGGAGGAGGAAGACGAGGAGGAAGAGGAAGAGGAAGGAGGAGAATGAGGAAAGGGAGGAGGAGGAGGAGGAGGAGCAGGAGGAAGATGAGAAGAAGGAGGAGGAGGAGGAGGAGGTGAACAAGAAGGAGGCAAAAGAGAAGAAGAAGCAAAAGAAGATAAAGGAGAAGAATAAAGAAATTAAGAAGAGGGAGAAGAAAAAGACAAAAGAGGAGAAGTCACCTGCATCTCAGGTGCTTTGTCAGAGCCTCACCTCTGCAGACAGGAACACACTTTCCTCGGCTGAAGAACCTGGAGTAAAGCTCTCTGGTGAAGCAGATGTCAGAAGCTGCTGGAGTCCTGCGTCAGCATTCAGAGAACAAACCTGGTTAACTGCAGCAGACGGAGAGAACGGGACGGACGAGGAGAAGAACCAGACTCACCAGCGCATCTTGTTGAAGGTCCACAGCTGCCTGAACTTCAGAACACCTGCAGCAGACATTGACACATCATCATCATCCTCCTCCTCATCACCACCACCACCATCATCATCATCATCATCATCATCACCCTCACCACCATCATCATCATCCTCCTCATCATCATCCTCCTCCTCCTCCTCCTCCTCCTCATCATCATCACCACCACCACCACCATCATCACCATCACCCTCATCATCACCATCATCACCATCACCCTCATCATCACCATCATCACCATCACCCTCATCATCATCATCAGCATCCTCATCCTCATTATTATTATTATTATTATTATTGGTGTCAGCAGCTGAACCAGGGGTCCTGGTCCGGTCCGTACCCCAGATATGTGGGTCGTCCATACAGGACTGATGATTGGACAGCGTGATGAGGGGCGTGTCAGCCGGTCTCTGGTCGATCAGGTCCAACAGAACCTGGTGGTTGTGGACCGTCAGGCTGTTCATGTATTCTGGAGACGGAAACACGAGAAGGAAGAACGAAAAACAAGAATTTAGTTTCTTTGTTTTTGAAGTTTTCAGGCATTTAGGAGCCGTTTGAGGTTTTAATGGTGGTTTTATAGTCGTGTTGGGAAACCTGCACTTGTTTCATGACTAGAACCCAGATCCAGGGTTCAGACTGAGACACCTGGATGGATGTAGAACAGATCTGGTGTCAGGTTCTACCAGAACCCAGATGTGTTCTTCCTCCTAAATGTCATGTGTCTATCTGCTGTACTGATGAAGTTCTGAGGCTCAGAAATGATGGAAAAAGTCCATTAAAGTGATCAATCTGGACCCTCCTCTGTGGACTTCAAGGACCTGGAACTCGAGAACATTCACAGTCTGAAGGTAGAACTCTGGTCAGTAGATAAAGGTGCTGCAGATACAGAACCAGATGTTCTGAGGAGGTTCTGATTGGTTCCTCATGCTCTGACCTGTATGTACATATATAGCAGGATGATGACTCACTGGTCCAGAAGTAGGAGTAGGAGCCCACCATGCCCATCACCAGGGTGCCGGTGAGCCTCCAGGCCAGCGCGGGGCACTGTGGGAACGGCCATCGGACCTCCAGGGGCATCACAGCGCCACGCTCCACCAACCTGGCAACCCAGAGGAGAACTCAGGTCTTTGCGTCAGGTTTGTGGACCACACATTGACAACAGAACGCCAGCGGTCCAGACTGGTGGTGTGAAGCTTCAGCACCGTCACTCTGCTGGGTTTTATCTTCTACAAGTTTGACGCGTCACCGCTTTAAGGTGCAACAGGAGATAACTTCTCAGCTTCTACGAGTGTCTGTGAACGTTTTACTGATACTTTACAGACTTCCCTGTTTGGTTCAAGTACAGAAAATAACCAGAGAAAGTCTTCATTCACACGTTGACACCAAAAATATGCATTTTTACAACGTGTGACCATAAAATGAGTGTTCTGCTGTATTTAAATCAGCAATAAATACTATTTATTTGCTGATATTTGCCTTTATTTGAAAGAAAAGTTGTGTATGTCATGAAAGTTTAAATAAACTTTATTAGTAATATAATTGTCTAAACCTGTGTTTTACAGATGTTGCCTGTGTTTTTTATATTTTTTTAAGTATTCATGTACATGGTAACTGTAAAACTAAGTCTGCATTTTGACAAATACTTTTTTTATGCTTTTGGAATAGGTGATCATAAAATTACAGCTTAATTACATTTAAATAAGAAAAAAAAATACTCAGAATTTGTCCAGAATGATTTAAAATTCATATAAAAAGGACAAAAAAAAAAAACATGTCCTCTATCGCTTCTAAAAAAATCTGCAAAATAACCCCAAAAAATCACTTTAAAAATGTTGAAAGTTATTCCAAGGACAAACATTTTCCAGTTTCAGCACCAGCTCTGAGCATCAGTATTATGGGATGTCTCATAGAAACAGTCACTGGTACCCGGAGGTGTTCCTGTTTGTCCCAGTAACATTTAAATCTTAAATAAAAATAAAATCCTTACTCTATGTCTATCAAATAGAGACTGATGTAGTTTATTGTTGTTATTAATTTTTTGCTGTCTCTTCTCTTCTATCTCGAGCTGTTCGTGTGAGAAGATGTTAGTGATCAGCTGTTAGCCTCCACTGTTAGCCTGCTAGCTAAAGTTTCAGGACACACTCAGCTCTCAGAGACGCGACGTCAAACAGCAGCTTCGTCCACGATCAGGCTCATAAACCGATAAATTAGTGAGTTAATTACAGCCTCAGTTAAAGTTAATCAGTCAACAGTTACCTGCTGCTGCACATTTATTCACCATCAACTGCCTGTTTTCAGCTCAAACCGGCTCACAAACCGCCTGTTTTCCCTCTTAAATATAAAAACGACACGCTGTGTAGCCGTGGCGCATTTAAAAGCTCAGTTTTTAATACATTCAAACGCGTTAATAAGTCAGAAAACATCACAAGATCAAACATTGCTCACCTTCTCCTGCTGACAGCCTGATGGTCACAGACCCGGAAGTGAACGCTGCGCGCTGAACTCTGGGTGTTGTAGTCTTCAGGAACGACGCCGTCAAACGTCACAATTAGCCACATGTATGACATTTAAATTCTCTGTTCATCCTCACAGGTTCAGATTTCACAAATAAGGATAACAGAGGCGTCCTGTTGAGTTTTGTTAGATGTAGTCCACCACTGGGTTGAGCAGAGAGGGATTGTGGGTAATGGATGCTCTGAAGTAGGCCAAAGGTGACTCTGCTGGACTTGGCTTGGACCTGCACTGGGTATTCTGGGGAGGTGTGTCAAAACTGAGTATTTAAAAAGGACTTTCATTTCTCAGACTGTAATATAAATGGATAAAACGTGGAATTAAAATGTAGAATAAAAAAAAAATCATCACAGTTCATCTCAGAGTCTTTATGATTAAATAAGCGTTTGTTTTAAAAGACAGTTAAATGTATAAAAAACAAACAAACCTTCAGAATTTACAAAAACATACACATTGTAGTTACTGATGATTTAATTATTTTTATAATGACTTTTTTGTTTATTTTTTTCATTTATTTATAATTTGCACAAACACATAGACAGTAAATAAACCACTAAACAGTTTAATCAAAATGTTTTGATATAGATCAATAGTAGAAAAATTACTAAAAATAATTAATTAAAATGCATTGATTGTTTTTAAGCCTATGGGCAGAAATAAATAGTGAATAAATTACTAAATAAATTCATTAAAATGCATTTAGTAATTTAATGAAGTTATGAACCTAAATAAATAGTAAATGTATTTTAAAATTAATTAATGAAAATGCACTGATTATTTATTTAACTTATGGGCATAAATAAATAGTGAATAAATCACAAAATAAAAAAACCCATTTCAACTAATCTTGTTTTTATGATAAAATAAAACATAATTTTGCACAATAAAACTTGTGTTGGATTTTTGCAAACAGGACAATAAATATATTTTCCAGGAATTACACAAAAAGGATAATTTTCTATCTGTTTTTTTTTTCTTTTGTTGTATTTACAACAATTTTTTTGCTTTTCCTTCAGAAACAGGTGTTTTGTTTTGTTTTTTTTAAAAGGACCCAGCTAATGGACACCAACATTATAATTAGCTTTGAGCTAAATATTTTATTTTCTCTGTGTATTTTATTTCATAAAATTTCTTTTGACATCTTTGTCACGTTAGAATCACAATAAACCCGATGATCAGTGTCATTGAAGCTGAAAAAACAAAGTGTATTTATTTAATTAGATTTTCTTTATAACTAAATGCAGTATTTGTGAAGCAGACTGGTGATCTCTCATCACATAGCTGTTTGCTGCATGTAGAATAGCACGTATATGAATATGAATGAATCAAAAACTCTGCAGCTGCAGTTTATAAACTCGACTTTGCAGCGATTGTTTTATTTCTTCTATTTTATTTGCTGTTATTGAGCCTCTGGAGCTCCATCGGGGCAGAAACGAGCTGCTGAGACCCACAGGAGTTTGGCTCAGATGTTGTATTAAGTTCAAAGTCCTGGAAACATGAAGCTTGTTTCTCTAGATTTTTGTTATTTTTTCAGATTTTCCCTATTTTGTTAAATTACAAATAATAACTTGTATAAAAAACAAAACTGTAAATAATGTTTATGTGAAAAAACAAAAGTGGAGGTACATAAAGTACAAGAACAAAATAAAATAAAATAAAATAAAATAAAATACAAAGCGTACCGGTGGACACTCTCAAGAAAGCAAATTAAAAACACTTTATTCAATGTTTTATTTAAATACTTTATTTAAACACTTTATTCACAGAGTTTATAAAACCGAACACGACTGTCCACCCCTGAATAAATTAACCCTGCGTTTACGGGCAGAGCTGGTCGATTTAAACACATGTTCTAATAAAGGAAGTTCCTGATTTTTCTGACATTTTATCACAAAAAAAAGCTTAAAAAGTGAGAAAAAAATTCTTCTTTCTGCTGCAGAATATAGAATAAATATGTTTAAAATCATACATTCATAAATGTGCGTTTCCTTTGTACCGCCGTGAGTACAACAACATCTGGATTACCAAGAGTTCATCATTAAAGTACACTTAAGAGCTGCTCGTCCAGCGTGGGGCTTCACCAGCTGGGGGCGATCACGTTCAGGCCCTTCAGCGCCACCTCGAAGCCTAAAAAACAGGCCTGACGCACACACGGGACGAGGTTTTAGTCAAAGAGCAGAAGTGCAGGTGTTGTGTTTGTGTCTGGGTGTGAATTCTCACCGCGTTGGCAGGAAACGCTCGGAGGAACACGGCGTTGAAGCCTTTGTACAGAGCTTTAGGTCCTTCTTCCCTCAGCAGCGTTCTGAGGACGTCGACCAAACCGCGGTACTTTCCGTCTGCAGCTGAACACACACAGGAAGCAGAACGTGCTTCATACAGATTTATGGCAAATTGGTTTCAAAGCATCTTGAAAAGTTTGAGGTATGTTGAATCATTTTGGTACCGTCCATCCATCCATCCATCCATTATCTCTACATCTCATGGGGGGCGGAGTCTATCCCAGCTGACTCAGGGTGAAGGCAGGTTCACCTGGACAGGTAACCAGTCTATCACAGGGCTACACTTAGAGACAGACAACCAAGCACAC